GTTAGTATTTAATACATTTTATACATTTTACGGCACCAAGAACTGCCTTTAGAGGATATCAGTGCGGGGAAACGGAGTTGTTGTGTTCCCCGAACGATTTTGTGTGTTCCCGAAACGGAGTTTTGGTCACGGAGTTTTTGTGGCAAGGCGTGGTATACCGAAGTGAGAAACCAAACGAAACGTCCATGTTTGCAACCTCTGAAACGGCATTATTAGGCCCTTTTTCTTTGAACCATGCATGTGCCGTTTGAAGATCCTAGGTGTTATCTCCTCACAAATCCTCGAATGATCCAGTCCATTTCCATGTTTCAAAGATGTTCAAGTCATTTTCACACACCGGATGGGCTTTGGGAATGACATCCGTTTGTTCCATGTGCGGTTTCTTTCCCAGGTATGCCAGTGACCCACATGGAAAACCACGAAACGCCCCCCGACTCCTCATGCTCGCCGGGACGCTCCGGGCCAGGCATGTGCCGAAGCGCCAAGCAAGGCCGGGGAACGAGATCAATGGAAGGGGTTTGGCAAATTGGCAGAGGAAGCCGACTGGAAGAAGTCGGCAAATCCAAGCCCAACGGCAGTGGGTTCTTCCACTTCTTGTGATCAACGGTAGGGTTCTTGCCAGTGGAAAACTGTCGACGTTGGAAAGAACCGTCAAAAGACCACTTGAAGCGCCGAGAACGACGCCGAGCTCACGCGGGCGATCGAGGCACGCTCCTCATCGCTTTGTGTGGGGCGCTCGTGTCGGGGCCCTGCTGGACCAGGGAGTGGAGAGTGGACCTGGCAGCGAAAAAAAGGGTGAGGGGCTGAGGGAGTTGATTGAACGTGATCATCGTCGTTCTTCCAGGGGGTCTTTGGTAGGTCTCCCTGCATACCCACTTGCTCATAAGACACATGTGTCCATCAACACTGGGTCGCCAACAACAGTTTCGAGCAAGGCCAACTGTCTGTGGTTTGCAAAGATGGTCATCTTCAAGTATAGGACAAACATGGATCATGGAACAACATCTATATCTAGACTCTCTATATATATATATTACTACTATAAAATACAAGTAACTATATACTAGAAATGTAAAACATTTAGAGCATTCTCCACAGCATTGTTTTGAACACAATCACCCTACGTCCAGTTGGGTACATCTTGACATATCTTGAATGTTCTTGCATAAAGCCACACCTGGTCTGACATGGTGGTGGATTCCTATTCCGAGAACACATTTGCGTGTGTATTGAAACAATAATAAGTCAATGCCAAATATACACCTGCCTTCCACTCCCTCAGACAACTACCATCTCCAATGTGTCCTTGTCGACCTCTTCGAAGCGGGCATGCTGAGGGGTCTTGCAATTGGTGCTTTTGCATGGCACAAAACGCTTTGGGTGTCTCACCCTTTTGGTTGATGCGTTGATCTCTATTGTCGATGTGTCCAAGTCAGTCTTGGGCCTGTCGGCCTACGCTGCCAACTGCGGTTGTGAAAGGTTGATGACCAATGACCAATTATGTCAAGACAAACAACCGAAGGTTTGGGAGAGGATGGGAACCAATCCAGGAGGTCTCAAGCCGAACGGCAACCCTGTCGGCACATGTTCGGAGAGCGGATCCGATCGGATCTGAGAAGCTGTTCATTGCGCTATGTTCATCAACTGTTTTTGTAGAAAACATGTCAGTCAAAACATGTCAAAAACCAACATCTCTTGCTAGCCCTGCGCTGCGGTGCCGTGGTCGTTGCTAGGTTGCTGGGGATCTTCTTCAGCAATGCCCGAGACCTTGCACCGGTCACGCGGAGAAGGGGATTTGGAAACTGCAGCATGGGGCAGTTCATAGAGTCATATAGAGTCAATAGATATGGGTCAATCATGATCAATCAATATAATGGGCGTTGAAATGATTTGAATAGAGAGGGTCTCCCCTGGCTCAAGACGCGTAGACTGCGTAGACTGGTCTATTTTCCTTCTTCCAGGGGGGTCGAACTGATCTCCCTTTCTTGATATACACACCCATATGACAGTCCGACGAACATGTCACATGGTTACGTGGATGGTCCCACTTCCATGTGATGTGTTCATCGGAGAGTAACAGTCCAAAATCATGGAGTTGACACTATGCCTGGAAGTTGATGTTCATCCAACGAGGTTTTTGTGGCCATAGTCCCAAGCAATAAGTTGCACTAGGCAATTCTTATATAGATTCATGTGTCATCATTTTTCATCCCATTTGATGAACAAGCTTTCCGCATGAGGGGCTTGGATGAGACCAAGTGCCTATCCCAACTCGAAGACTTCCCTCCTACAGTCCTAAAGGTGAATTTGCGATGATGAGTCTCAATCAGAAATGCACACAACTATATGATAGCCAGCATTGGCCTTCTTTGTATTCTCATCGATCCGATCGATTGGATAGCAACAAGTGGAGGAAACAGAGTCCCAAAATCGCGAGAGGCTCAGCCTTTGTGGATGGGGCCCTAGCTACAAAAGTTTCAGAATAGATGGCCCTTGAATAGGGTTTCGGGGGTTCATGGGGTTTCTGAGTCACTCTCAACCAAAGGTTCTTTGTGCAAGTGACCGGCGTTGGACCGAGCATGATTCTTGGAGAAAAACAAACACAGTCATTTGCCAAATGTTTGGATTCTGGAAATTTTGAGGTGAGCCATGTCTTCATGCAAGCAGATTCTTTTGCTCAGGGTACCAAGCTAGGCCTGAAATGGCCTGAAGTTATTCGCTTGTGGCGGTGGTCCAAACAATTCATGCCGTGCGTTAATTACAGACATGTGGTTTGGGGCTGATCCTAGCTTGAGGGGAGCATGAACGCGTTTGAAGTCTCAGACCATCTATTTATTGTCCAGAGTGCATTTGCACACCATGATAACGACCTACTGGTACTAAAATGACTCCATGTGCAGTGGTTGCAGAGTATGACACTGGCACCCCAAGATGTCTTTGATGTCAACGTGAATCCATCTATACCCTTTTCACACCACAGGAACTTCTCGTGTCCCGCTCTGGATGCGGCAACGAGGCCAGCGAGGCTCCACCCAGGCCACACCAAGACAATCCGATGGCACGTGGTGCTCGTGGACTGGGGCGGTGGTTGGAGCAAGAATGGTCTCACCTTGAACAGGTGTTGCCCAAAATACTTCATTCAAAACCGTTTTGTATTTTGTCAGTGACATGTGACGTGCATATACAGATCTGAGTGTGACTCTGGTTCTTGGTGTTTCTGTTTTTAGTCCTTGTTTGTTTGGGATTTCTCTAAAGGTGTTGGCACTTGACCGATCAACAACCTTGGACCAGAGAGCCAAGTCGAAGTCGACTCAAATGTTGCTAGAAGACGATTCACCAGGACTTCCATGTTGGGGGGTGGTTTTTAGACCGCTTAAACGTGAGTGGATGTTCTGGGCATTCCTTTTTTTCCGCTCCGTTCGTTCGGCACCCAACTTGATGGTGCTGGGATGAAGACTCCCTTTCATATGGCTCACTTGATTTTCTTCCTCACCCAAGTGTGATATTCAGGCTAGTCAGGCTAGTCCATAGCTGAGTGAAGTGTAAGAATCACATAGAATGACCACAGCCCCGCTTCGCCCCGCTTCGCCCCGCTTCGCCCCGCTTCGCTCCGTCGGTCGAGGTCGTCGACCTCGGTGAGCCCACTGCATGGCGGTGACCGCGCGATGTGGGAAGCCATGGAGT